ATGATGATGATGATGATGATGATGATGATGCATGATGATGATGATGTTTGAGGAGGAAGGAGTAGGAGGAGGAGGAGGAGGAGGAGGGGAGGATGAGGAGGAGGAGGAGGAGGAGGAGGAGTAGGAGAAGGAGGAGGAGGAGGAGGAGGAGGAGGGAGGCCGGCCCCTCAGCACATCATCCGGCAGCTCCGGGCCGAGCAGAGGCTCCGGACGGAGAGCGACGGGGACGAGGCCCCTCTCGGCCAGTGCAGCGCCGGCCCCTCTCCTCGTGGCGCCGGAGGTACGCAGGTCGGCTAGACGTGAGGATTTATCCTTCGCCAGAGTGGCCTGGGGAGACAGTCAAAGAATAAAGCAACTGCATAAAGATAAACGTTCGAGGACCCTCGCGGACCCTCGAGAGTTCATGCTTTTGCCGCTTGTTTCCTCTACAATGGACAAGGGGCGGGCCTTCTCGGAAGGCTCGGGCGTCCCCGTGCCTTCTGAGAAGTTCTCCAAGCCTTCCTCGGAGATGCAGAACAACTCTCTTTCACCCCCTCGCTCGCCGCCGATTGGTGCGGGCAAGATTTACGTATACGCAGACATATCCTCTGCGTCTTGGAGTTTCTGGGAAGTGGCGCCCAAAGGCCGCGGCGCAGTGGATATTAATCAAAATCTGGCACCTGGAGGCCAGATGTTTCTCCTTCATTGCGCCTTTGGTTTCTGGGGAAGGGTGCGGCCCCCGAAAGGCGCACACCAGATGTCACTCTTGCCTAGGGTCACCCCTGCGTATAGCCGAACAGGGATCGCAATCGATCGCAGATCGTTCACGTGACTCGGTGCCGACGCCGGGCCGGACCAGATTCGGGCAGCGAGCGAACAAAGACAACACAAGCACAACAGCTCGAACGATTTGCGAAGGGTTGTCAGCCGCCGGGGGCACCGAGTAGTGTTTACGGCGTGAGTCCGCCTATATCTAACGTTTGCGAGGCCACGGCCTTCATGCCATACCCTAAGTCTCACGGGCGGGTTCCCAAAGGCAGCGCGCACGACTTTTGCGTTCGCTTCGTTTCGCTTCGCTTCCCATGATTCGAATGAGAAAATGCATTGTTCGATTTGCGGCCGGTACATATACAGCCCCCCGTGCTAGCTTCCATCGTCGCCTAAGATGTGAAACAGTGTCCAGGGCATGCGGTGGCCCCAAGACTGGGGCCATCCATCCTCGTGGTGGGTTTGTCTAGTCTTCGCAGCGGTAGTGCACTACTCAGTGAAAGCTTCGAACCAACAGGAATCAGGAGGGGAAAAAGCACAGACACAATTTATCGTCGACTCCCAGGAAAATATGGGAAGTGGGGGGGAGACGAAATTCCAGAAACCATGGCAACATATGGAGAATCCTGGGATTTGTGTGTATTTATTCGTGTGTCCTTGGGCCCTCTGAATGAGCAGATCCAACATTGCATTTCGAGGCAGGATTTCTTGAGTCAATGCGACCCGCGATCTTGGACACGCCCCGATGAGGCCAAGGGGTCCCGAGGCTCCTGAGGCCCAGCGGCGACCCCAAGACAGCCCCAGCTGCGAGCCCACAAACTTGCGCGCAGGCGACCCCGCGACAGCCCGAATTGTTTTAGTCGGTTCTGGCAGGGGTGGGGGAGAGGGGGGAACGCAGGGATATCGAAAAAGGCTCAAAGAATAGTCGGGAGGGAGGGAGGGACATTCGTCGTGGACCATATTGAGGTGTCGGGGCGCCGGCCCTGGGAAGCCCAGCACGCGACATATCGAGCCCCCTCGACGGTTTCATGTCGTTGGGCCCCCTCGGACCTGCCGGGGGGGAGGGGGCTTTCAAGGGTCAGCCGTCGGGTTCAGGAGAGGGTGTCGGTGTCTAGGGAACCGTTCGGGAGGGGGAGTTTTATACACCACCCTATCCAGAACTTTTCCGGGGGATCGGTGCACGGGTCCGAACGGGAGCCTTGCCGAGGGAGTCGGTGTGCACACAAACCTCGAAGAGAAGGGTCTCGTGCCCCCCCCTTCCCTCTTCCCTTCCTCCCTCGTCTGATCCTCTTTCGGTCTCCCTCCCCTCCCCGCTCCCTTCCTCCCTCCCCCGTCCCTCCTTTCGGCTACAGGTAAGGGTTGCTGAAGACAGACAGACAGACAGACAGACAGGGGACGGAGAGGAGGCAACGAGGGGGAGGCGGGGTTAGCATGGCGGCCAAAGGATTAACACACACTGAACAGTCTGGGCCCTCTAGGGTAGGATCGGGGAGCCCCGCGTGTGTCGCGCATCGCATGTCTACTGAAAGTGTACATCGTGTGAGTGTGCTCTGTTAGACACCGGTGCTCCTGCATGTGCATGGCTGGGGCCCGCAGTGCCCACGGAAGCACCCAGAGTTGGCAGACGACGGAGACGACACCGTAATTTTGCCGAGGGGCGTCGGCCGGTCTGGGTGGCGGCCCAGCGCCGTTGAGGGGAGTACACCCAGGAAGAAGTGTCTGTGCATATTGTCAAGGCCTTACGGCCCGTGCCGCAGACCCTGGACAACAACCCACACGATGGAAGGTGGAGTCTGGAAGGTCGGGATCGGTCGCTCCCGAGAGTGCCCAAGAGGCTGCACGAGGTCCCCAAGAGGTGCCCAAGAACCCAAGACCCACTGCGAAGTTTTGGGGGTGTCGTGGGGGGCCCTTGCTAGGAAGGAGCGTCTGCGTATATTCTTCTCTGGCCCCTTTCTCACTGCCGTCCGCGCCCGGATAACATATGGTGCGGCCTCTCTGAGGTCGGCGCACGCGGGGCCCTAGCCGCGGCACTTGACTCTCTCCGCCTCGTCGCTGCGAGCGAGGCCGCGACCCCCAACAGCGGTGTATGTCTTTGTGTCCTGGCCTGCGCAGCGAACTGGACCCAGCAAGCGGCCGGCCATCGACTCAGCGCGACGGGAGCGAATCGAGCGAATGGGAAGGGACGGGCCAGGAGGGGATGGAGGGCGGGAGGAGGATGCGGAGGAGGCGGAGGAGGAGGAGGAGGAAGAGGATGCGGAGGAGGAGGAGGAGGAGGAGGAGGAGTCCAAGGAGGAGGAGAGGAGAGGAGGAGGGGGGAGGAGGGGAGGAGGAGGAGGAGGAGGAGGAGGAGGAGGAGGAGGATGGAGGACGAGGAGGAGGAGGGAGGCGGAGGAGGAGGCGGAGGAGGAGGAGGAGGAGGAGGAGGGGAGGAGGGAGGATAGGAGGGGGAGGAGGAAGAAGGGGGAGGGGAGGAGGAGGAGGAGGAGGAGGAGGGAGGAGGAGGAGGAGGAGGAGGAGGAGGCGGAGGAGGAGGAGGCGGAGGAGGAGGAGGAGGGGAGGAGGAGGAGGCGAGGAGGAGGAGGAGGAGGAGAGGAGGAGGAGGAGGAGGGAGGAGGGAGGCGGAGGAGGAGGAGGAGGAGGAGGAGGCGGAGGAGGAGGAGGAGGAGGGGGGGAAGGGGGAGGAGGGGCGGAGGAGGAGGAGGAGGAGGAGGAGAGGAGGAGGAGGAGGAGGAGGAGTGAAGGAGGAGGAGGAGGAGGAGGAGAGGAGGAGGAGGAGAGGGAGGAGGAGGAGGAGGAGGAGGAGGGAGGAGGAGGAGGAGAGGAGGAGGAGGAGGAGGAGCAGGAGGAGAGGAGGAGGAGTTGGGGGAGAAGGAGGGAGAGGAGGAGGAGGAGGAAGAGGTGGAGGAGGGGGAGGAGGAGGAATAGGAGGAGGAGGAGGAGAAGGAGGAGGAGGAGGAGGAGGAGGAGAGGAGGAGGGGAGGAGGAGGAGGAGGAGGAGGAGGAGGAGAGGAGGGGGAGAAGGAGGGAGAGGAGGAGGAGGAGGAGGAGGAGGAGGAGGAGGAGGAGGAGGAGGAGGAGGAGGAGTAGCATGAGCAGGAGCAGGAGGAGAAGGAGGAGGAGGAAGAGGAGGAGGAGGGGGAGGAGGAAGAGGAGGAGGGGGAGGGGGAGGTCTGCGGACGGCCAGAACGCCCCCAGAGGAAGCGAAGAGCCTCGGCGGGCGCCGGAGTCAGAGCTCGGGTACTCGACGCATTCAGAGCCGTCAAGGGGTCTGAGGTGGCCCCGCGCTGGTTCCGGCCAGCAGAAAGGGCGCGCAGGTTCGAGGTGATGGGTTCGGGCAGGTGGTTGCCACCTCTAAAGCGCAGCTCATTGAGGTGTGCAAATTTGGAGGAGTGTCCATGCCCCTCCCGGCCTCGTGGCCTCTTGCCCCCCCCCGCTCGCAGGGCGTTCAAGGCTGGTGGGCTCCCTCGGAGGAGCGGTGGATTGTGCCCCCCCCTCCTCGTTCGGGCAGGTTTTTCCCACCTATTCTGTGGTGTTGGGTCCTCGTTTTGAAGAGACAGCGTCCTGCATTCCTCCTCCTCCCGCTGCCCCTTCCTCCCCATTCTCTCAGTCCTTCCTCTGCCCTCCGCGCCAGTCAGCCATGTCGGCACACCCCTCACACGCTCCGTGGCCTCATAGGGAGCTCCACCGAGGGCCCCAGCGGCTGCGCTCGCATGGCGCCACCACGCCCATTTCGGCACACCTCTCACACGTTTCGTGGCCCCATGTTGAGCTCCACTGGGGGCCCCAGTGGCTCCGCGCGCATGGCACCACGGCGCCCATGTCGGCACACCCCTCACACGTTTCGTGGACCCATAGGGAGCTCCACCGAGGGCCTCAGTTGTTGTGCTCGCATGGCACCCGCGCCCATGCCGGCACACTCCTCACACGTTTCGTGGCCCCACAGGGAACTCCACCGAGGGCCCCAGTGGCTGCGCTCGCATGGCGCCACCGCGCCCGTGTCGGCACACCCTCTCACGCTTCGTTGCCCCAGGGAGCTCCACCCAGGGCCCCAATGGCTGCGCTCGCATGGCGCCACCGTGCACATCTCGGCACACCCCTCACACGTTTCGTGGCCCCATAGGGGGAACTCCACAGCTCCGCCGAAGGCCCCATTGGCTGCGCTCGCATGGCACCTCCGCACCCTTTTCGGTACATCGGTCACACGTTTCGCGGCGCCATGGGGAGCTTCACCGAGGGTACCAGTGGCTGCGCTCGCATGGCACTACCGCGCCAATTTCGGCACACCCTCACACGTTTCGGGGCCCCATAGGGAACTCCACCGAGGGCCCCAGTGGCAGCACTCGCATGGCACCACAGAGCACATTTCGGCACACCCCTCACACGCTTCGTGGCCCCAGAAGGAGCGCCACCCAAAGCCACAACGTACCGTTCGCGTGCGTCTCCGCCGCCCATGTCGGCACACCCCTCACACGTTTCGTGGCCCCATAGGGAGTTCCACTTGAGGCCCCAGAGGCAGCGCCCGCATGGCACCTCCGCACCCGTTTCGGCACACCCATCAGACGGTTCGGGCCCCATAGGGAGTTCCACCTAA